ATATGTGCACTCACATTTCAGTAATAATAAGATATTGATGATTGTTGATTCCTTCTCAACAGAATTTGGTGGGGACATATAGAATACGAACGCTTTCACACTGCGTGACAACTTGCATGAACATAGTATAAATTTTAGCTATATAAATTCTCACGTGAAAAAGAAAAAGAAGTTCATTTGATTGGTGAACTATCTTTTCTTTATTAATATTTTAAATTTGTAAATTGATATATTTCAGATTCATCATCATATCTCATTCAAATCATTGAATTACGATGCTTATCTATGTCAATAATAAAGAAGATCATTTCATTCTGCATTCATGTTATTTAGATAATTTTGTTCATGGAATTACTTCTTAAACTACTATTCTTTTCCTACTATTTTTTTATTTAGTTTTTATTTTTTATTTTTTCTACTTTCAAAATCGCTCAAAAACTACTCATACAACTACAACTAAAAAAATACTCATATTGTTAACAACTTTCTTTTATTTTATTTTTCTTTTTTAATTGTTAATAACTCACTTTTATTTTATATTTTAAAAATACATACATATAGACACGAAGTGTTTTTTTTAACAATAATCAATATAATAGTGATACAATTATGATGGTCGAAATATTGTCAAATCCAAATTTATGATTATTATGTAAAAACATGTTTGATTGATTAACCATTAGAAGACTTGGTTCAACTTAATTATAGAGAAGTATTTGTTTGAACACTATCATAATTTCAAAAATATATTTTCAAATAAAATAATTCAAAACATTATACTTGGGAACATATTATTTTAAAGTATTTTTTTATAAAAAATTTGGTAAAGAATTACTTTAATTAAACATCTTTTAACTCACTTCCAAGTAAAAAAAATCTTTTATCTCAATAAGGTAATCCTCAAATTAGTTTTAACTTCAATTGAGTTTAATAGACACTGTTTGTACAGTTTTTTTTCTACAATCAACTAATTAATACTAATAGTATAAATAAATTGTAATTTGATTTTGGTTGACACAAATGATTCTGATTTGTATATCTTAATCAAACTAGATTCGATATCCATACAATTTATTTTGATAAATTGAGTAATTTGATATTTAATTGATTATATAATTAAAAATTGATAATAACAATGTGTATAAAATATAATAATTGTTATCTTTTGATCGAGAAGAATAATTTTCATACTTGATAACACATTTTTAATATTATTGAACTCAATCTCCGATCCAATTTTTAGAAATGTTGTTTGCTATAAAAGTTTTTTTTTCCACTCTAAAAGAAAATAATATTGGTTGAATGAAACTTTATCTGTTATGAAAGTTTGATTGTTAATGATTATGATATGAGATGTTTAAATATATAAAAATAATTTTGAAATGAAAAATAATTAATAATCATTAGTAACAATATTTGTAAATATTAGTAATTAGTAATAAAATTAAAACACAAATCTAATAATTATTACTAATTATTTATGATATAATATAATTACTATAATTATTTAATTATGATGACAAAATATTAAAATATATTTTGATTCTTAAAATCCTGAATGTAATTATTTTTTTAAAACACAAATCTAATAGTGATTACTTATTTTTTATTTATAATTTTGTGTTATGAAATATTTTTAAGGTAAATAATAAATATTTTAGAGTAAATAATAAATTATTATAATAATATTTTAGAAAATAATATTATAAAATATTTTATTAATGTTAATTAATAACGTAATATTTTTTAATTAAATGATTTAAACCATTTAAGAATTCTTGAATAAAAACGTTTCAAAAAATTTGAGTTAAGCCATTTAAGAATTTTAATAATTTTTTTAGTACCGTTTTTGTCAATGTTTATGATTTGAGTTTTTTACTCAAATAATACTATTTTAAAAAATATTTACCCAAATAGAAACTGTGCAAATTTATTTTCCAGATTAACACTATTTACCGTTCATTCCAGAACGGGCCGTTCCAAATTAAAAAATAACACATGACGAATTGATTAGAACAGGCCGTTCCGGATTCAAAAAATACACATAAAAAGTGGAACCAGAACGAGCCGTCCTAGCCTACAGATTCAGGTTTTTTATTTTATTTTTTATTTTCACTTATCAAATACCAAAACTTAAAGACTACCATCAAGTGATTAAATTTATTGAATATTAACATTGTAAATATAACTAAATAAGTTTATTAAAATTCAATACAACAATAAAGATCAATGGTGGTAGAAACTGATTATGTTGTTCTGTAATATCCATATTTGTTTTAATCCTATTGGACTTTGACCACCCTTGAAAGTTCTCTTGAATTCTGGATTTGGTCACAAAGTTGGACCAGTGTAAGTAGGTCAATAATCTTCATGTCGGAGCTCTCCAAACTGACTTTCATATACTTTACAACTTATTGTAAGGTATATATGAGAGATATGTAAGTTTAATAGTCGTGATGCGCATGTAAGCATGAAGCGAGTACATGCGAGTAAGGGATATGAACTTTTTAGAATTTGCCGCAATCACACCACATTACATTTAGCCTTACTGTAAATCTCCCAGCGAGTCATGCGAGCAAGGGATATGAACTTTCTAAAACTTGTTGCAATCATACCACATTTCATTTAGCCTTATTATAAATTTCTCAGCGGGTCAAACTTCTCTCGGATGTTGCGTTTCTTCCAACTTTGTGGCCAAATCTAGAATGCAAAAGAACTTTCAAGGGTCAGCCAAAGTCCAGCAGGATTAGAACAGAGATGGACATTAGAGAACAACATAATCGTGTAAAAAATTGTTCTTATTATCACACTCTTGGTCACGCCTTACTCTAAATCTCCCAGCGAATCATGCGAGCAAGGGATATGAACTTTCTGAAACTTGTTGCAATCATACCACATTTCATTTAGCCTTATTGTAAATTTATCAGTGGGTCAAACTTCTCTCGGATGTTGCGTTTCTTCCAACTTTGTGGCCAAATCTAGAACGTAAAAGAACTTTCAAGGGTCGGCCAAAGTCCAACAGGATTAGAACAAAGATGGACATGAGAGAATAACATAATCGTGTAAAAAATTGTTCCTATTGTCACACTCCTGGTCACGCCATCATTGATCTTTATTGTTGTAATTAATTTTAATAAATTTATTTAATTATATTTATAATGTTAATATTCAATAAATTTAATCACCTGATGGTAGTCACTGAGTTTTGGTATTTGATAAGTGAAAATTGAAAGAAAAAAGAAAGAAAAAAGAAGCCTGAATCTGTAGGCCAGAACGGCCCGTTCCGGATTCAAAACGGCCCGTTCTGGTTCCACTTTTTATGTGCATTTTTTGAATCTGGAACGGTCCGTTCTGATTCATTTGTCATGTGTTATTTTTTTAATCTGGAAGGGCCCGTTCTAGAATCAGAACGACCCGTTTTGGAACGTGAACAGTAAAAAGTGTTAGTTGAGAAAATAAATTTACACGGTTACTATTTGGGTATATTTTTTAAAATAGTATTATTTGAGTAAAAAACTCTTACAACGAATATAAATAAGTTAATTATTTATTTTTATATTAATAATTGGTAATTATTAAAATATTTTTATCCATATTTTTCCTCTCATTTTAATATATTTATTTTTTTAATTATTTCTAATAGTACTTTATTTTATAATATTGCAAAAATCTAATAATGTTTAGTATTTATTAAAATAATTTTATCCAAATTTGTAATTTTATTTTGATATATTTATTTTTAATTATTTTCAGTAACACTTTATTTTATAATGTTTCCAAAACTAATAATAATTAATAATTATTAAAATATTTTTATTCAATTTTTTCTTTTATTTTGGTATATTTGTTTTGATGTAATATATAAACTATATAATATCAGTTTTTTTATTTTGACATATTTGTTTGTTTTAATTATTTTAAGTGGGAGTTTTGATATATATATATATATATATATATATTATAATTATATTTAGTAGTAAATTATTTATATATAAAATATTTACGAAGGAGTTAATAGAGGGAATAACATATTTATTGAAGGAAATTTTATTGGAGGGAGTAAGTTATTTTCTTTAGTTTTATCCATTTTTTCTTTTATTATGATATATTTGTTTTTTTTAATTATTATCAGTATCATTTTATTTTTTAATATTGTAAAATTTTGATAATGATTAGTAATTATTAAAATATTTTTATCTAAACTTTTTTATTTTGATATATTTGTTTTTTAATTATTTTTAATAACAAATTATTTTATAATATTGTGAAAATATAATAATAATTAGTAATTATTAAAATATTTTTATCTAATTTTTTTTATTTTTATATAATATATAAATACTATATAATATCATTTTTTTTCTTTTTATTTTGATATATCTATTTATTTATAATTATTTTCTATAAGAATCTTGATATACTTATTTTTTTATAATTATTTTCAGTAACAAATTATTTTTTAATATTATTTATATATAAAGATATTTATGATAAAATTATCATAAAAAATAAATATTTACAACAAATTCACCCAACTTTATTAAACCATTTGTAAAGTAAGATTATATTCTATTTATGTACACTAATTTGATCATATATTAATCGATGTGAATTTTTAACACATTCACCTCATGTTGAGAATTTGATATCTCAAAAATAAAGTTTATAAAATTAGACATCTGTAAATAATCAAATACTTAATAATAAGTAACTTGATATATTTGACATCAGTTATTAGGATAATTTCTAATACTATCTTAAAAAATAATTATAAATCTAATTCAACTTTATAAAATAAAAATTACTAATACACAATTCACAAAAAATAAGCTCATCCAATCCAGTTTTATATAAAAAAAGCTATTTTAAAAATTAATAAAGTTATTATATACGGGATGATTTGTGATCCAACAATAGTACAATTTTTTTTTTATATTAATTGACAACTTCATTATTATTTCTTGACATTATGTTGATCTAACAAATACTAGGGCAGTTCAATAATTTATCTTTCTGGAGTTAAACAGGTTAACGTGAAGTGAATGCTTAAGCTGAAGAAGCATCTACCCTAGAAAATGCTTAAACATAACCATAGTTGGTGTGTGTGGGATGATTCCACGGCTTCTCGGAGCCTATATAAATCGCCAATTCTTAATCAACGTTCGACACATCATACGTTTCTTCATTGCAGAAATTCAGACACTGTGGCAATTCGTGACCATGTCCTACCCCAAATCCGAGTCAGTGTCTGGACCCTCTGATTCGGAAGTTCCACCGACTGAACCCTCTGTGCCCATTTCTTATCCAATCAAAACCCTTCAGGAGTTGGAGTCTCGCTCCTATTTTCAGTCCTTTCACTACCCTTTCAACAAAGCTTCGGTTCCTATCAATGGGAATGGGAATTCTTCTTCGTTGCCCAATAGGCGCAGATTGCTTGTGTGCCATGACATGGCTGGCGGCTACTTGGATGATAAGTGGATTCAAGGTGGCACTAACCCCGATGCTTATGCCATTTGGCATTGGCATTTGATCGATGTCTTTGTTTACTTTTCACACACTCTCGTTACTCTTCCCCCTCCTTCATGGACTAACGCAGCTCATCGCCATGGTGTTAAGGTACTTTCTTCTACAGAATTTGCTCTTTTCTAGAACACATATGTATGCAGTGAGAGATGTGGCTCACTTATATACATCATTTTGACCCTATTACTTGTCAACAATGGTCTAATACTTATACACACGATATTGGTCATATCATTAGCTAATGATGTTCCGATAATAAATGACTCAATAAGTCCAATATCAATCACTAAGATTAATGTTGATAATATCTTAGAATATGAATTTGGACTTATTCCCAAAGTGAACTTACTAGTTGGGATGCCCCTCAATTATATATGTGGTTTTGGTCATATCCCTTGTGAATGTACATCTCTAACAGCTTTACTAGCAATCAATTTTTAAGGTCATTTATTTTTTTATACAGTTGGTTTAGTTTAAATGGTCAAGTGATCTGAGATTCTTTGATAACTGTAAACCTCTTTTATTGGAGCTCAGGCTTTATGGTATTTGAGTTTGTTTCTTGCGTGGAGATATTTATGAAAATGGACTCGTTTAGATAAATTTTTCCAAAAATACTTCTAGGAGAAAAAATAGGAAGAAAATTTGAAATAAGTTACTTTATAAGCTAAATTGAACTTATACATAAGTTAAAAAAGAGTTTTCATAAATGCTAATATAAGAGAGTTTCAACAAATTAGTTTATGTATAAACTATTTTAACTTTTGGAGAAATTTATTTCATTTTTCCTTTATATTTTTCCCTCTTAAAAGTATTTCTAGAGAAATTTATCCAAACTGACCCATTATTGCTCATGCTTTAATTGGAACGAATAGATTATTCTTTGGTCATACTTGTTCCTTTAATATTTCAGGTGTTGGGGACCTTCATCACTGAGTGGGATGAGGGAAGGGCTGCCTGTGATACACTGCTTTCAACAAAGGAAACTGCACAGATGTATGCAGAACGTCTGGCAGAGCTTGCTGCTGCGTTAGGCTTCGATGGGTGGCTAGTAAATAACACATTATCTCTGTGTGTTATTAGTTTTACATTCATCTATTACTATATTTAAATTCTATAATGTATAATTAAATTGATTTTTGATTTCCATTCACTTCCTTTTACGACTGATAACTAATAAATGAACTGTTGACCTGCACTACTAGTGCATCAGATGCTCCAAACACAGATATAGTGTAAAATTTAATAAATTAGGATGTTTTGAGCTTGGGCTCTTAAGTTGATGGGGCACAGTGTTTCATCTTAATACTGCCGTGATTGATATCAAAATAAATCTCTCAGAAAATAATGGGAGATAATAATATTGTAGAGATTTTACTAGAACAATAACTAGGATTTGTTTTTTAACTCAAGTTTGTAGATGAAAAATTTTTCACTGGAAATATTATAAATGGCTTCATAAATGACGGATCTAAAAGTTTTAAATTGTGGAGGCAATACTCACATATATAAATTAGTGGGAGCAATATTTATAAAATATTTTGTTTTTTAACTACATTTTAAATTATGGAGGAATTTATATATATTATATTAAAAAAAATAAAAATCTAGTGGGGGCAAGTGCCCCTAGACTGTGCAATGTAGATCCGTCTCTCACAAACAATGCATATTTAGACTTTTGTTAAATATTCTCAATGAATTGACATTATGAAGTAAATCATACTAGATATTTTATGCATATTTATACTAAAAATCAAAATAAAACTTAACTATTTTTCTCATACTTTACAACCTTGCATTTCTGGTATTCTTGTCGATTATTCAACTAGTAACATTTAACTGCAGATAAATATGGAAGTAAATTTGGATCAGGATCAAATTTTTAATTTGAAAGAGTTTGTAGACCATTTATCATTAACAATGCATTCTTCTGTGCCTGGATCGTTAGTGCTATGGTGAGTATTAGAGACAAGTCAGAAATTATTTCTTTTTTGCATGGATTGTGCCAAACGTTGACTTTGATGTGTTTTCTTGGTCATGTAGGTATGACAGCGTTACAGTTGATGGTAAATTGAATTGGCAAGATCAATTAAATGAACATAATAAACCATTTTTTGATATATGTGATGGAATATTTGTGAACTATACATGGAAGGTATTGCTTATCTTTCCCTGCCATGCTTGTGCAACGCTACTGTTCAATCAATTGTCATTGTCCTCAGTTAATTCTAAAATGTACCATGTAGGAAGACTATCCAAGGCTCTCTGCTTCTGTTGCCAGTGATCGGAAGTTCGATGTGTACATGGGAATTGATGTGTTTGGAAGGAACACATATGGTGGTGGACAGTGGAATGTATGTGGTCTGTGATATATAGTCTGCTACCCCAATTTTGAAATTGTTTGGAAATAATTTTTAATTTTCATGGCTGGAACATAGGTCAGAAACTGAATTTGATCCATCAGACATGTATATTCTTTGTGAACATGCTTATTTGACATCATGTTCTTCACATTCCATTTCATTAATAGGATTAACAGTTATGATTAAATATGGTTTTGCACAGTATTCTAGACATTTCAATCATCAGAATGCATTGATTTCATTTTGGCTATTGCAGAATATATAGTGGATGCACTTTATTGTTATAATTAACTGCCTTCAAAGAAGTTTCTTGCCACATGTAGAACCCCGTCCCTTGGTGAAGCAGCCAACTTGCCTGTAACTAGATATCCTTTCACTAAAAAAGACAATTATCACTTACTTTTGTTTTCATATAGTAATTTGCATTTGAAATCTATTTATGAAAGCACTTGTTGGACTTGGGAAATTTGAGCTGCCAAATAATTTTGGACAAGTGTAGTACGTGACTGGTAAAGTGAATAGGATATTTGTGTTATTTCCCTTTTTTGGGTAATTATCTCTTTGTCGTTTTTGATGTTTGCTTTATTCTCATGGATGTCTCAGGTAAATGTTGCTCTTGATGTACTAAGAAAGAATGATGTCTCTGCTGCAATATTTGCTCCTGGATGGATCCATGAGACAAAACAACCACCAGATTTTGCAACTGCTCAGAATAGGTAATTTTGGTACCTATTTTACAATACCTGAAAAATTATTGGAATTTTGCTATCACAAGGTTAACTGAGTTGATGCATATTAATATATTGAGAAAAAAATCTTGCGGCAGAAGTGGCCAACATTGTATATGCAGAAATGGAGCACAATGGCTAGAGGTGAAATGAAAAGAAAAATGATGAATTCAATCCATCTCTACAATTCTAAATATTTATAAGAAGGAATCCTTTTGAAAAAGATGAATATAAATTATAGTTTCCCCAGAAATTTCTCTTCAACATCTTCAAAGGTTTTGATTTCATTCTGATAGAATCTTTAAGCTTCAAATTTTTCTGTACTAATTTTATACATTGAAATAAAACCTTCCATTTTTGTTTCTTCTCTTCTTTCTGGGATTACATGGCATAACTTCAGTTTCAAGTTTGTTAGCTCTTTGATTCCCAAAGAGAACCTTATTTTATAATCCTCTTTGAACTTGCTGAAGTCATGTATTGCAATATGAGAAATGCTGGCAATACACTCTTTTAAATACACTCTTT